CCTTTCCCTCCTGTAGCTATTTTCATTCTCCAGCATATCATTCTCATTTGGTTTGATTTGGTGTGCGTAGAGCTGCTGAGCAGTTGGACATTTGGTCAACGTCACCTAAGGGGCCAAAAGAATGGGTTTTATGTGGGTCTGCTTTGTCATCAGATGATAAGGTAAGTAACAGCTAACTAGAATGGGTCTACATATTTGTTTCCATATGTTTGCTCAATAATCCTAATTGATATTTTTTCCTCTTTTTTGTGCTGAAGTGTACTTTGGTAAAGTTTGCTAAAATGTGCGGTGCAACTGTCTCAAAACTCTGGTCATCAGATGTGACTCATGTAATAGCAGCAGCTGATTCTGAGGGTGCATGCACAAGGACTCTCAAAGTTCTCATGGCAATTTTATGTGGAAAATGGATCCTTTCCATGGAATGTAAGATTCCTCTCTTGTTGTGTCTTAACTCTCTATACGCCCTGTTCTTTAAGCCTATGTCTGGAACACGGAAATGGCAGAGAATGAAAAAATGCTATAAGGATTTGAAAATATGTTGATTTCATTTTGGGACTAAGGCTGGGATGCTGTTGATGCTTTGTATTTGAAAACATGTTGGTCTTTATCTGCAAAAATCAGACATTCCCAAGTATTTTTTAAATTTCACATATATTTAAATTTGTTATTCTACACAATACATATATTAGACACACAAATACAACGAGTTTTAACAAATCTATCTACAAATGATTGTTTGAGTTTGAACCAAGTGAATTATATAAAGTCATACTCCTTATGATAAAGGCAAATCAGTTTTGTTTTGCCAGCATGTTTATCTTGAATCCAAAGTTATCTTGGATAGTTGTGATATTTTACCTCTGTGTTACCCCAATTTGCAGGGGTAAGGGCTTGTATGAAGGCCAACTGCCCTGTGAATGAAGAGCCATATGAAATTAATAAGGACAACCATGGGTGTTGCAATGGACCCAAGACTGGAAGACTAAGGGCTTCAACCAATGTAACTCTTCCACTGCTAACTCTTTGAGTTTCTAATGTGCTGAAAAGCATACACTATTCCTATTGATAATGATTCATTTTCCTGCCATGCAGGCACCTAAACTTTTTGGAGGGTTTAGGTTTTATCCAAGTGGAGATTTTTTGGCGGCTTATTTAAAGGATCTCCTGGAGTTGATTAAAATGGCGGGAGGGACCATTTTGGATGGAAAAGAAGAGGTGATTGCCGCCAAAGGGCAGGATTCGAGACAAAGTGATCACCCAACATGTCTGATTGTGTATAACTGTGACCCTCCCAGGGAGTGTATGCCTATGGAAGAAAGCTCCATTATCCTGCGAAGACTTGAAGAAGCTGAGAATTTGGCTAAACTGAGTGGTTCTTTGGTAATTAAACACACATGGATTCTGGAATCCATTGCTGCTTGTAAGTTGCTTCCTTTTGTTTGATGAGAAAAAGGTGGGGCTGCCATTCTTTCTTGGGCTGTAACACATTTGTTGGTTGTTACCCCTTTTGATTTTTGTTTATTTGTCATGGTGAGTTCCTATTCAAATATGGATGCAGTCGTAACATGTAACTTGGTTCGCTTAGGGTGTGTTTGGATCGTCAGAAATAGAAAATCTGAAGGAAAAGTTGTTTTCTTGAGATTTGGTTCGCCTTATAGGGAGTACAGCGTGAAACACTTTTTGTGATTTCTTTGGAAAGTCACACACGTAGTATGTTAACTTGGTGATTATTTAAAATTTATTGATTTTAAACGCTATGTTTTGCCAACCTCCATAAAGCAAAGGATGCCATGCATTATTAGGTTTGTTTTTTGTCATGTAAAATGCCTCCCTATGTAAAATGCCAAGAAGTGTCATTACCCACAAGAGCTTGAGAATCCAAAATGCATGTTTCATCGTATATTTACCTAAAATCAAAGTGAATCTCTTTACCTAATAATAACACCATTGTATTTTGATTTAATTATAATTATAATATAATATTATGGAAAATAACGCCATTCTATCACTCATCTAAACCAATAATTATTGGAAATTCAATTAATCTCGTTGAAACCCTATATAAGAATATAAATTCATTTGATTCTTTGAATTAGTTTTTCGTGAGTGAGTTAAGTGACTGCAATTCTAATTAGGGAGTGACTCTAGAATATTATTAAAAGTTACTTTTAAAGTGTATATTACAAAGATTTATGACTGAAATTTGATACATGTATTACTTAAAGTTATTCTTCCTAATTTTTATTACGCGCAACACAAAAAAGTTATTGTCAAAGATGAAGCATTGAATATAGTGAAAATCAACTGAGTGCTAATTTTTAGCGATGAACTGATTAATTTTTACTAAAAGCATTTTTATATGAAAAAATATATGGAACACGTTACACGTAAACATGTTTACTAGACAACACATTAGTATGATGTTAGATAATGATTTCATTATAATAATGTGCTTCGTAATAAGCACGTTGATGTGGTCCTTATATTTTTCAATTTATATGATAAAAGTTTCAATATAAAAAACAAAATATACACTTTCATTATGCATATAAAGTATATGCAGAAATATAGTTTCTAAAATATATTACTCCAAATGGCCAAACACCCTACAAAGCAAGGAAGAGGAGCTGATCCATAACACATAAAGGAGTATTCAATTGAGGATGACTCTTTTAAATTTCTTAACTTTTTTTTAGTGAAATGAAAAGCGGAAAAAGACAAATTATATACTCCGTAGTCAGATGGGCATGAGTTCTGTACAGGCAACGGTATTGACATGATTAAACGCCCTGCTTTTTTCTTCTTCACAAAATCCACCACCGTCGTCAACAACTCAATTGTAACGGTCACATTTTCCCCTTTTTTTCAAAATCAAACAAAGCCCTAGGCATGGCCTACCAAGAACACTGACCGTTTCACGCCCTTCTTCTACATCTCACTCTACTGCTTTTGGGAATCCCAACACTCCTCCCTTCCGCTCTGCTGACTTTCATCAATGAAGTTCCTTTAACCCCCACCGCTGCTCCGGAGAGGGAAAAGAAATACCCAAATCTCAGCGTACATAATCTCAAAGTTAAATGGGAAACTTTCTCGGTTGCTTTGGCGGTTCTGAGGATTCGCGTAAACGCAGTAAAAAGAGGAACCACGTTATTCCTCGAGACCAAGTAAGGAAGATCCATTTCTGTTATCTATCTGTAATGGCGTATGGAATTTCGAATCTTGAAATTTCATCTTTACTTTTCTTCAGTAGACTCATTTTTGTTGTCGTAGAATTCATCATTTTGTTGCAAACTGAATGCTACCCTAGTTTGTTATTTTCATACGTTTATGCTCCAACACTTCTGAGATCCGGATGATATGAAAACTTAAAGGTGCGATCTTTATTGCAGAAAAATGTTCTTCATGGCACTCCCCAAAGAACCATTTCCACAGATCAAAGCTTCTTCTCAGAAGCACCGGTCTCTAATTCTGTCTCTCAGTAAGTATTTTGCCAATCCCATGTTTTACAAATTTGGAGGTCTATGGTTTTCATTAATTTACTGAGCCAGCAATTGTGTTTTTCCTCTTGTTGTTTATATTAAGGGCTACTCCTGAGGAGATACTGAGTTTAAGTGCCAGAAAGCGGGTTACATTTGATGAGAACGTCACAACATATGAACATATTTCAGTTGAGGAAAGTACAGAAACTTTACCAGAGATTAAGATTATAAGTAAAAATGAATGGGAAGAGGAAAAACCACTGGATAATAAGCAAAGCCACTCGCCCACAGAAGTTGGTTCTGTTATTTCCAGTGCAGAATCTTATCCTTCCAATTATAGGTACAAGAATTGCAGCGACATTGATGATGATGAGGAGGAGGAAGAAGAAGAGTTTCTCGAATCAGATGAAGAAGATGAATATTCTGATGATGATAGCAGAATGCTAGTTGACCAGATATGGTCTGAATCAGTGGATCCAAATTCCGTGCCAGAACCGCCCTTAGTTGAACATGGTTTAAATGAGAAAAAAGGATATGTTAGGGATAGAAGTGTTTATGTTCATCCTGTTCTTAACCCAGTAGAGAATCTTTCTCAGTGGAAAGCTATGAAAATAAAAGCAGCAGAGCGAGGCATTATAATGCCACTAAAAGAGAACCAAGAATTGCCCACGGTTTCAGAATCAACAACCAATCTTCATCAAAACCACCAAGGAGAGGTTGCAGTCAATGCCAGTCTTTCAAACTGGCTCACTCCCCCTCCGACTCTACCTGCAGAGAAGCCCACAAAAGGCAACTTCAAAGACAGGCCAATTTTAGGTGCATTGACAGCAGAGGAGCTGAAACAGCAGATCTCATCGTCTCCAATGCAATCTTCGCCTTGTCGAAGTCCTGAGGAGGCTCCTATCATAGGATCTGTTGGGACATACTGGAATCACTCTGGTTGTGGATCTTTAAAGAAGGATGGTGATTGTACAGCATCTTCTTTTAAAGGAATACCAAACACGACCAGCAAGTACAGAGAGGTAAAATAAATTTTGAAGTGACCAGCTTTTTATTTTGTGTACTTTTGAGCGATTGCTGATTTTGATTTCATGGGAATGCTCCAGGACAAGAAAGTTATTTGGCATTCTACTCCGTTTCAGACGAGGTTGGAGAGAGCTTTAGATCGAAGTGCTGCCGGAGCTTAATTCTTTTCACTCAGGAATATATTGTTATTATGTTTTTCCACCTCATTGCAAGTTCTTGAATTTGTTTTTGGCAAATTTAATCTCGGCTTGTGTGAATTGAATTGTTGTATGTTGTTGTAAGTTACTACTATTACAGTCTACATGTGAGTGGTGATGGTGATGATGTAATTGAGTTAATATATTTGTTTCAGTGTGCATAATAAATTAATGACAAAAACCTCTAGGGAACATTACTCAGAGCTTGTAATTTAACAACCTAGGTTTAATTTATCAAACATTTTTCATGAAAGTAATTTAATCATGAGTGACAAATGGGCTCCTATGTGTAACATTGAAAATCTTTCAACTGAATTTCCTTGTTTCTCTCCTTGGAGTCACTTCCCCCAGTAGAGAGAGGATAACTAAAAGCAAAAGAGAAATTAACAACCTTGACTTGCCACTATCACAAAGCTTTTGATGTTTTCCAGGATCATTGAATGATAATACAGAGACAATATCAAGAACTAATAAATGAGACTTTATTGAGTTGCTACTACCCTAGCACGTTTCGATGCTGGTGAGTCCGACGATGAGTCAGGAGTTACTACTACTAGAGTCGTTTCACAATCTTTTTGTTGTTTTTCTCCACTTGCCCGAGGAGGAGATTCAGTCAAGGGTGCATTGGCCAAGTCATCTGCAGGGGAGGGGTGACCTCCATCCGTCAACTGCAGGGCTGAGGGGTTATTGTCACTCGTGGATAATGGTGATCCCTTTTTTACTGTATCAACATTTGGCATTGACTTGCACTGCTTCTCAAACATCATCTGCAGATATCTCCCTTGTTCTTCAATCCTCAGCTGTAGATTCCGTTGAATCTGCGTATGAACGGTATGATGTAAAAATATAACCACTTAACATTAGTGCAAGTGTGTAAAGGATCTTCTTAAACTAAAAAATTAGAGACGGATGGGGATATGTGACCAAAAGACTAAGACAGCCCTTGACCGAAAACAGAATATTAATGCAATACGATTCATACTTCAAGTTGCTCATGGAGCCGCTTTTGCACTTCCATTTGTAACCTTAGCGCTTCAGTGATCTCAATACCCCTGTAACAAATATCCACCTTTATGTTTATTTTACTACTTTTCAGCACATTCATAATATTAGAAGTTTATAGATCATACATGCACACTTAGTTCATGAGAAACTTATTGTCATATAAAATGTGTTAGAATGCACACATATCTGCATATAGATTTTATTAAGACTCCGTCCATCTATTTAAAATGTGAAAATTTATCCGTGATTGTTAGGGCTTTTAGGGAAAATGGCTTCTTCGTTTCATCAAGCAATATTTTTATTTCTTATTTGTGCACTAAACATTACACGATACATAACATAACTTATTTTCCTCAACAACGTTTTCCCAATGGGCTTTTAGAAATTTATAGACCAGTATAAAGCAGTAAAAGCTTCACCAACAGATTCATCAACTCACGCTTTCAAGTCCAGAGATGGAAAATCATCAATACCATGCTGTTTCTTCTCCAAAGACGCTGCCACAGAAAGACAGCAAAATAGGATTGATTGGAGAGCATATAACAAGCTTCCATGTTAAGAGGAGAATGTAAGAAATACAGCATGCGGTTGAGGGTAAAGATAGAAAAGCTGCAGGCAAATCTCAAAACATGTACATATATCCATTCATCGTCATTACCCCAGTGCCGCAAGGGCTCCCACCTACAATGGGGTGTAAGGGGGGGGGGGGGGTCGGATGTATGGATGTACGCATCCTTACCCCTGTACTAAAGTAAAGAGAGACTGTAAAACATTTACATATATATGTATAATAAATACGCGTATCATATATGTGTTTAATATCTAATATGGAAATAGTTCATGCACCATACCTTCTGATGATTCAGGTTTATAGCGTGCCGTGCGATATTTCTGCAAGTGGCTTTTAACATGATAGATGGTCAAGTTTTCAACTTTCATTAATTTTAGCACACCCTTGGGAGTAGCTCCTGAAAAAACAAGTAAAACATTAATTCTAACAAAAAATAACTTCTACTTTTATTATACAATAGAGTAATTAATATGGACAGCAAGGAGAAGAGATCACTTTCACTTCCACCAAGCTTGTTAACAGCTTCCACAAATGCTTCATGAAGTTCTGGTGTCCAACGCATGCGCTGCTTCGTAGGAGCGCCACTTGTAGGGGATTGTACGCACACAACAGCCGAAGTTTCTCCAGGAATAACAGCGAGTTGCTTGGATATATTTGTTTGATTGGTTTGTAAATTTGAAGATTGTTTTGACACCTGTAATTATGAATTGGGAAAAAAGTGTAAGCTATATAACAATTAAAAAATCAAGAAATAAAGAGATGGCAGATAGAAAAGTTCATAACAAAAAAAACATCTTTCCAATGAAAAAAGGCTAGTTCATGCAAATATAGCATATTTTTGTTTGCGGTAAGTTTCTATTTTGTTATTCATCTCTACAACTTGCTTTGTTCCTTTCTAGTCCCTCTCCCTTAACCTCAATTTAGACAAGCTGGCATGGTGGAGGGAACTCAAGTCGAGCCATACCACATCAATTCAATAAATAATTAGTATTTGATTTTCAGAGAGCAAAAAGATTTCAATTAACCCCCCCCCCCCCCCCCCCCCCCCCCGTTTTAAAATAAAGACAAAAGAAATGTGGATATTAGAAAACCAGGTAGCTCTTTGTAAAAGTGAACCTACATTTGTATCTGCATCAGGAGTACTTGTATGGGCAATCATATCATTCCAATCAGAAGTGAGAGCACCATCATCAGAAATAAGCTGATCAGCCCACTCCTGCCAATCGTTTCTTTTAACAATATCCTCAGAAGTAATAATGGCACAATCAGCATCATCACTGCAGGCTAGTTGCTGATTACTTTCCATACAGGCAGTTGTTGCTGTTGGGTAGTATAGAAGCTCAACCAATGGATCAGTAGACCAAGGGACAACATTTTCCTTAGCAAAACCACTTGATGCTGTGGATTGAAGAGCTCCAGATCCCGGAAACAACATTTCCGGTGTCTCGTTATTTGTTGTTGACTGAGGAATAAAATGAAGTTGTTTGGAGTTGACTAAGGATGAAGACGATGAATAATGAAGATCACTTGAATATCCAGATGCCGAAGAAAACATAAGAGGGGCAATGGCACTGTTTGATGACAGGGGAGCAACATGTGTTTCTGGAAACTTGGGGAATTTCCCTTCAAGAGTTGTTGGAAGGACTGGTAAAGAAGAAGATGAGAGACCCCCAAAGTTACTGAGTTGCCTAGGCCCCACCCTCTGAATGAATAAAGTAGGGCGTCCCTCCATTTATGCTTCTTTGTGTAGAAGACAGGTAACTATGACCTCACTCTTTAATTCCAGTCAACTAAGATGAGGCTTTTTCATGCCTACATCAATAATAATATAGAAACTAATCAATAAAAGATTGGGGCAGCAACATGATAACAATCTTAAAATGGCTAAACGATTAGACACGCAATATCCTTTCTCAGTATTATATAAACATGACCAAAAGAAAGTAAGAAACCCTAATCTTTCTTAGTATTTCATTAAGACATTGAGTACCCAATCACGCTCTCTTTCACCTAATTTTATTTTATTAGGAAAATAAGAACTGGAACATCTAAAGACTATTGGGAGAAGAAGTAACAGTTACACATATATATGAGAGGTGAAGGTTTTTAACCAGAAAAGGACATAGAATTGCCCAATTGTCCTTTTCAAACCGACATGGTCTTTTGTTTCCTTAACAATCCAATAATCCCAGACACGAATCTCAGATATAGAGCAATAATCCAATAATCTTTCATTATTTAAAGTAAAGAACTCATCAAGATTAAAAAAAATCACATAAAAATACTACATCAATGCAATAATTAATAAGAAAAAGGATAGTTGGATACTCTGATATAGCAGAATAAAAACAAAAAACAGAGAAACTTAGCGACTAAAAACCGAACAAAGTTTCAAAATTGAATCAAATAAAGAGATAGGAAAGAGTAAACATTGCCTAAATGCTTGGCAGAATAAAAAGACAGGAGCTAAGCTAACCAAATCGAAATCACAGGCATGGTGAACAGTCATCATGAGATTATACTATATCCACGAATAAGTACGAAGGTAACACACCTCGACTAAAATTGCACGCGCGACTTTATCGTGTTCTGTCGCCGGCGTGGCTGAGAGAATTGAACGGCGATGAGCTCATCCTGGTTCGCCTATTTTATGGGGGCCTCTTCGCTCATTCATCGTCTCATCTCTGTTTCAGGTTTATTCATGTAATCCCACGCGCTGGTCATATAGCTCGTGGCTACTTGCGGAATATTTTGATAATCAAATGCGTCGGTCCCACCCAGCGTGATTGGCCCATTAATAAATTGTACTTGTATCGCCTAATTTGTAATTTTACTTTTCTTGGTCACCAGTTTTGTTTTTTATGATTTTTTTATTTGGGAAATTTTAATTATCATTTCAATACTAACATTTTATATCATCAGTCAATTTTAAATGTAGATATGATTTATTTTAATGATTTTTTGAACAAAATGCTTAATCATAAAGAATTGATTGGTAAAATCTAAACCCCTATAAATGTGAACATCGGGTAAAATCTCTATATTATGTCGACCTTTACTCAAAAAAGACCCATTTTTATGAATATCATTAAATTAAATTTTAAAGATAAAAATATGATTTATTTAAAAAAAACTAAAAAATGACAAATTTAGTGAGTAATTCTAGTGATTCATTATGTAGTGACTTGTCATTCTAAAATACACTATAGTAACTACTTCACGGTGATTAGTACAAAATGACTAGTTATATTTTTGTTCAAACACATAACTTGTCATGTTTTTTTCACGAAAACTCTATTCTTAATATACATGTTATTTTTTCAAATAAGAATTCCATATTTATGACTAAAATAAAGATTGTTTACAAAACTATGACTAGTGATTAGAGTAGTAATGAAATCACAGTAATTTATGTTCAAGTTTTTAGCTTAAGTTAGCATGACACTACATTGTAGTAATTATTAGTTATATTTGTGCAAATAATTTTATTTTAGTAATATTTTTTGTAAAAAATCCAAATCAGTATATTTTCATTAATTTTGTTTTTATTTTTATCCATATGACCGCATTCGTCTCAATCAAACCAGTGATCAGTTAGTTTAAAGATCTTTTTAAGTTTTAACCCCTGTAAATAAAAGTGCTTTTGTTTTTAGGTATTTGCAATTATTTTCATCCTCATAATTTATACTATATGTCATTTTAGTCTCTCGCCTATCCATCCATATCCTACCAAGGAGTAACTTCTATTTGGAAACTGCAAACTAATAGTCTTATTAACTTTTTTGGGTCAACTCATTCTAAAAATACTTATGTAAACATCTAGATAATTTAAAAAACATGAATGGTTAGTGACAGCTTATTCTAATTCCACCATTAGTCTTCAAAAACTTATAGAAACAAGGGTCAAAAGTTAAGTGTAGAATTATACGTAGTACAATTGACATCAAACTTTTTTTCTACATGGATATTGCCTCGCAATTAAGTGGACAAAATTTCATGAACTTAAATTTAGTAAACATTCAGTATAAATTTTTGTGAATGGAGATTGCCCGAAAGTTAGAGGGAGATCAAAAAAAAAGAAAATTGTATAATATTACAAGCAGGATTACCGAATAATGTTGTAGGGATATAGAAAACATATTTAAGGCATAATACACACAGTTCAATTCAGTCAAGTTCTTTGATCATTTTGACTTTAATTAGATCCATTGAAGTTTACTTACTTTACTTAATTTAGTATACTAATAAAGCTGAGCCTTTGTTAGTGAGCGTATTATGGATTTTTATGTGTAATTTTCGGACAACCAAGCTCCCGCAGTAGTCCCGCCCCTTCTCCTTCCCTTTACTAGCCTGTTGTTTAGTGGCTATGAAATTAACCAAATTAACTAAATTTGCTCAAATTACTGAAGTCATGGCTAAAATAAGTGAATTGGCTAAATAATAATAGGTAGTAACAAATAATAATAATAGATATAAATAACAAGTATATTCTCAAATAGTTAAGGAATCTATGTTTTTGCTCCAAACGATACTGTTTTGACAATGGCTTTAATTGGCAAATAGCTTTAGCAGTATGTGTTAGTTGATTGCGGTAGCTGTTTTTCAATAGCTGCTTGTAGTAGGTGTATTGACGGGTATTGTTATAAATATTTGGTAAAGTGAGTTGTTTGTGAATAACAAAACCATCCAATAGGAGGCAAAGACAAATAGAAGCAAAATGCGAAAAATTTATTTACTAGCTATAAGTGTGAATGCCGCGGGTTTGGCGAGCAAATCGTGAGTTCGTGACGATATTGGGTAAAGCAAGGGGTGGGCTCGGGCCGGGTTCACCGGCCCGACCTGGTACTGTTTCGGCCCGGCCCGGCTCGGTACCCGGCTCCGTGCCTGGCTCGAGCCAATTTTTTTATTTTTGTTTATCAAATTCTTTAAAAAGTAAACGGGTTGGGCTGGGTGTTTTGAAGGGGTTTGGGGTGTGGGGGGTAGGAAGTAATTAAAAATAATAATAATAATAATAATAATGTACCCGGCCAGAGGCCCCGCCTGAACCGGCCCGACCCGGTCAGGGCCCGACCCGGACCCAGTAGCTACCTAAGCCAGTTTTAGGCCTCAAGAAACAATAAAAAAAGCCCGTTCAAGCCCGATCAAGGCCTCGACGCGGCGCGAGTCCAAGCCTAGGTGAAGCAAGTTTACGGGTGAAGAGAAAATTAGAAGGTTGGCTTTGATGAATAGCTACACATAAATTGAACTCTACAAATAATGTTAATGTTTGAAGGGTACACATGGGTTAAAGGGGTCAACTATATCAAAACATTGGTCTCTCCAAGTTTATGACACAAATCCATGGTACATAGAATCTCTCATTAGTCACTACAATATGCAAGAAACTTCTTGGCGATCTTATAATAAATCTAATCAAATTTAGATTTGATCAATTTTAATCCTCAAGTTTCAGCTTTTTATCAAATTTAGTAGTCTCTTAACTTGGAACCGTTCACTATAATCACCAACAGCCATACTTCAACTTAGGGATGGACTAAATCGGCCCGGCCCGACCCGGAACCGGCCCGCTACTGTGCAGGCCCGGACCGGACCGAGACCGGTTGGCCAGTTCCGGGCTTTTTGCCCGTTTGGGTGGGTCGGGCGGGCCGGGGTCAGGCCCAGGTTTGGGTGAACCGGCCCGGACGGTTCAGGCCGGGCCCGGGTCAGTTTTTTTTTGTTTTTTCAAATTTTTTTCTTTTCCTAGGGTAGGGCTGGGTGTTTTGGCCTTTTGGGGAGGTTTGGGGGTGGGGGATGAGGGAGAGGGGTCGGGGATAACAAGAAAGCAAAAAAAAAAATAGACATTGACCGGGCCCAACCCTACCCAACCCGGTTAGGCCCGGACCCGGTATCAACCCGGGACCACCAAGGATTTGCAAAAAAGCCCGCCCAGGCCTGGCCGGCCGGCCCGGTACTGGAACCGGCCCGGGTCCATCACTGCTTCAACTTTTGGTAAAATATATCAAGATGCGCAATGAATTATGAGTGTGGGGTTATATTTGAAGGGGAAACCAACAAAAAAGATATCTAAACTTAATAATAATGAAATAAAGATGACAACCAAAACAACAGTGAGTCCAGATTCTGGAAAATTTGTCCGAATTTGAACGTCACCAAAATGACCAAATTGTCATTAAACGCTTTACATAATTGTACCTAATCAGCAATAAGCCTGCCCCAAATGATATGGACAAACTCAGTTCCTCAACTTACAAACTTGGCTAAAAATAATTTAGTTGTCTCGATAAATTCGAGGCATGTTCAATGTTGGTAAATAAATTAACATTAACAATTACACCAAGCTCGCAATCAGTGTTGAGATTTGAACTTTGATAGTAAAAACTGTTTACAATCTTTCCACTTCGAGTTTCATATATCTAATCTAATATCCAATATTTATAAATTTATCTATAAGCTAAACGCATGCACGAGGTTGCCTTTGGTCTCAATACGTAGAATTAGATAGACTCAGGTCCGGGCCGGGTCCGGGTCGGGCCGGCGGTTCAGAAATGGTGGACCCGAGACCGGCCCGGGTAACCACCGGGTCCGGTCCGGACCAGGCCCATTATCATTTTTTTTTGTTTTCCGCTTCCTAATTAACCCCCTCCCACCCCCAACCCCCCAAACCACCCCAAATGGCCCAAAATACCCAGCCCAACCCGAAAATTTAAAAAAAATTGAAAAAAAAGGTTTTGGCCCGAACCGAGCCCGGCCGGGTCGGACCTTGTTTTGGGTGACCCGAGCCCAGACCGGAAAACCCACGGACCAAGCCTACCCGGACCAGTCATTAACCAGGCCACCAGGTCGGGTCGGGTCGGGCCGGAACAGTACCGGTCCCAGGCCGGTTCCGGGCCAGGCCACCCGGCCTGAGTCCATCCCTACGTAGAATCATATACAATGTTTGAGAAAAGGGTCAAATAAGGCCTTCTACTATTCTGAAATAGTCACATAAGACCATGTACTCAATAAAGTGTCATATAAGTACATCTACTTGTAAAAAATAATCAAATGAGTCCTAATGACCTATACAACACCTTTTAATACCGGGTTCAACGTACTTCTGACCATCTTTTTAGAATACATTATACGACATACATCGAATATTTAACTAAGATTGGTTGAAATACAAGTCAAAAAAATCGACATGTAAGCTTAAACCGGGATTATGAGGTGTTAAATAAGCCGTTATGACTCATTTGATTGTTTTAGACAAGTAGATGTACTTATATGATACTTTATTGAGTACATGATCTTATGTGACTATTTCATAATAGTAGAAGGCCTTATTTGACCCTTTTCTCACAATGTTTTTATTCGAATTGAAATTTGTTAATATCTGAAATGGTCTCACTCTAGTACTCCCTCCGTCCACAATGAACTTCCCACTTTCCTTTAAATGGCAAGTTAATCACATCAAAACAGTGTCAGAAGCAAAACAGTACCAAATAGTGTCACACAGTGCCGAAACCATAAAATTTACCTCATGAGAAGTTTATTTCCTTAATATGTGTATATGTCAAAGTGTGAAGTTCATTGTGGGATAGAGGGAGTATATATTTAGTCTCTGTAATTTAAAACTGTCACAAGTCTGATCAAAGACCAAAAACCGTTCATGTAAAGACATCCTAATTGTCCAAACTATCAAATGAGAATATAAATAAATGTACATTTTTCTCCCACTATTTTCATTACCCCTTTTTTACATACCCAACACAGCAGAAATTAGTGGTTTACATGCAATCAGCGGATAGCCAATTCGTATAAGACAGTTAATTGAGGATACTAGACGTATAAAACAAAATCCCATGATAAAAAAAGGTAGGATAATAAACACACATTTGAAGTTAATGCAAAAATTCTGACATCATAGCAAAGTGACCACTAAAGCAAAGCCCAACATTCAAAATATTAATATCTTGATAAACACAATAAAATCTCAAAACATGTTGCAACAATTACTCTAAACAATAGCATTGGCAGCACTGGCAATTCTAGGCCAAAGATCAGCACATTCCTTTCCAATAGGTCCTGTAATGGCACTCCCTGCAAGGATATAAATGCCAGGTAATGGTTAGTAGCTATACAAATACCAAATTGTAATTCATGTTGCTAGGTTACTCTATTCAACCATAATGTATTTATGGGGTTTGGATGCTAAGATGCATTCATCCTTGAAAAATAAAGTATTACCTTTCATTTCTCCTTTTGGATTCACAATGACTCCAGCATTATCTGTGTAAACAAGAATTCTAAGAATCAGAAGCGAGGTAGCAACTAGCAAGCTTGTGGGAAATCATTGCTTGAAATATAAACGCTAGACAATATTAATTGCAGGCAGGAACTTGAAGTTGCAGTCAAAAATTAACAATCATCAAGGGTAAGAGAGATTAACGACACTAAAACATAATCACTTTGCTAAGACAAAGATCAAAACATTCTATGATACCATCAGAATTCACAATGAATCAGAAACCTAAAATAATTCAATTCGAAATCATGATTCTGCCAGTAAAGCGCGATTGAATCAATCAAATTCATTTAGAACAAATTGAAAGGGGTTTCCATGAAAGCACACCTTCAAAGTACATGAATACACCGTCCTTTCGGCGAAAGGGTTTGCGCTGGCGAACGATGACAGCAGGCATGACCTTCTTCCTGAGATCAGGTTTCCCCTTCTTCACCGTGGCCATAACCATGTCTCCCACGCAAGCAGAAGGCAACCTGTTGAGTCTACCCTTGATTCCCTTCACTGAGATGATATACAAGTTCTTTGCTCCGGTGTTGTCGGCACAGTTCACCGTCGCAGCCACCGGCAGACCGAGCGACATCCGGAACTTGTTTCCGGCGGAACCTCCCCGTCCTATAATCACATTCCAGAATTAACGAAACAATGAAAATAATTCAAAGAAATCAAATACAGTTATTACACAACAGAAGCAGATTCCAAGGATGGCAGAGCTTACCTCGCTTCGACATTGTGAATCCTCCTCTACAGATCCTAACGGCAATCACGAAGAATCGGCTAGGGATTTATACAGGACACTAGGGTTTAGTGGAAATTACGTAATTGGGTAGCACTGATATGCTTAACAGGCCACGTCCAGTCGTCCACAATTATTCTGTTGGGCCGGTTCGTAGTATCATCGACCCAATGATACAAATTTCTGACATATCAAAACACGAAGATCAATTGAAGTTTTATCTTCTCGATGTTTAATTTAAGCTCATTAAAATACGCTCCCACTTCGCGCACCCTTGGATATGCTAGGCGCACCAATTTTTCACCTTAAATTGACAAATTAGCCCCTCAGCGTTAATGCATTCTATACGTACGTGCTCCACCTGTTTTTTTTTTTTGGGAAAAGGGGCAAATCCCCCCTTAAAGTTACCACTAAAGGGCATCTAAGCCCTTATACTTAATTTTGGAGCAAAAACCTCCCTTTTCCATTAAAAGAGGGCATCTCCCCCCTTCTCTAACGGTGAGCAAACAGAGTAGTTAACAGCAGCTGGGTTGAGAATTTGTGGTAAATGCAAATACATCCTGGAATTTTCTCTAGCTAAATCACATCAAGTCTACATATTTTTTTGTGAGCAAATGTGTTAAATACACATGTGGCAAATTAACTAACTAAATGTCGAATTATAGAATTAAGATGTTTTTAATTGGATTGAATTTTTTTGATGTGATGTAATTTGGTCTAATCAATTTTTGTCTGATCTGGTTTGATCTGTTTAAAAAGTTTTTACTTAGACTTATTTCAGAATTAGACAAGATCAGACCTGGACAAACCTGACTAGATATAAAAAGATTAGACCTCAAAAAATTATAAAATACTCAGAAACCAAAAATCTACCGAACAAGACAAAACCAGACCAATTGAGATCAAATTAGAGGTAAGGGGCACCCCAAAATTCTCACAAAGCACATCCAAGCTCATATTTTTTCTTTGTGAGCAAATGTCTTAAGTAAACATGTGGCAAATTAATTAGCCTATATGGCGAATTATAGAGTTAGGGAATTTTTAATTGGACTGAACTTTTTTAATCTGATCTAGTTGATCTGATCAATTTTATTCTGGAGATGGTCTGGTCTAAAATTTTATTTTATACGTAGTACTCTGTATTACTTATACCTCTGTGTCACTTAAAAGTTCATGTCCACTATTCTCTAGTCAATGTAAACTAATTTATAATCTTTTACTTTATATATTCAACTTTTATTAAATTAAATTTTCTTTTATTAACTTTATAAGTTTCTGAATATGCATGTCTTCATATTATCTTCATAATCTATTTATAAATAATTTTAATTATTTATCATATGGAACAATAAAATTCTTTCATAAATATTGTACAGTACAATATATTTTCTCTATTTTTACCATATATCTTCTACAAGTAAAAAGGGAAACACATTATGGTATGATAAAGATGATAAAATAGTTTTTGCATATTAAAAATACACATTAATGATAAGCCGAGAAGATATATTGTACAATATTTTGGGAGGAATTTTATTATCTTTAATAATAAATCAATACAAATAAGTTATATACGTATTATAATATATAAATAATATTAATGCCATTTCATAGCAGCCGAGATGAAGGATTTTTTTCGATTGAAATTTTATGGTCTAGTCTAATCTGATTTTGCCTGGTCTGAATTGGTCTCATTTTGTCTTGTTCGGTAGATTTCTGGTTTCTAAGTATTGTTCTCCCTCCGTCCCTCAAAACTTTGTCAAATTTGTCCGGCACGAGAATTAATAAAGTAAAAAATGTGTGATTGAGGTTTGTGTAGAGGAGAGAGATTTAACTGGAACTATAAATTCTTTACTTAAAATGGAAGATGACAAAGTTAATGTAACATCCAAAAAATGAAAGTTGACAATGTTTTAAGTGATGTTTTAAAGTTGTCTAGTCTAATTATGTCTAATAAGGCTTGTTCAGGTCTGATATTTCATATCCTTTTCAATCGGAAAATTTTTATTCAAAAATTGAATTAAAATATTTCTTATCCTTTTCAATCTGAAATTTTTATTCAAAAGTTGAATTAAAATATTTCTTAGGGAAAAGGGGCTAGTCTAATTATGTCTAGTAAGGCTTGTTCAGGTCTGATATTGTCTAAGACTGAAATAAGTCTTAGTAAAAAATTTTAAAACAGATCAGACCAGAGCTGACAAAAATTGACTAGACTAAATTACAACATATCAAAAAAATTCAATCCAATTAAAAACATCTTAAACTCTATAATTCAACATTTAGTTGGTTAATTTGCCACATGTTTATTCAAGACATTTGCTCACAAAAAAAAAATATAGACTTGAATGTGATTTAGCTAGAGAAAATTTCGGGGTATAATTGCACTTACCACAAGTTCTCAACCGACCGAGGGTGCTGTTAACTACTCTGTATGCTCATCGTTAGAGAAGGGGGAAGATGCCCTCTTTTAATGGAAAAGGGAGTTTTTTGCTCCAAAATTAAGTATAAGGGCTTAGATGCCCTTTAGAGGTAACTTTAAGGGGGGATTTGCCCCTTTTCCCTTTTTTTTGGAAGATGCTCTACCTTCTATTAAAAAATGTTGGGTAATATGACCAAAGCACATCTTCATTGCCGAACTTTAATCTGATTTTTTGCTTCTAACCTACCTATTTTTTGTTTAATAAAACCTGGGTGCTTTTCTTCTTTTTATACTCCGTAAGAAATCTTATCTCATAGGCACAACAAATTAGTATAATATGCATTAAAAATATCTTTAGAATGTTTTTAATTGAACTAAAAAAATAGTCAGATATTATCTATTTAAGATCGATTTGATTTTGTTTGGTCTGAGATTGATATCAATCCAATTACAAAATCTTTAAAGTTACATAAATACATTGGTACTGGTATCAAATAAAAAAGAAACTCGTGAGTATATTCTAAATAAAATAATGTGAGTTGATTGATTGGCCCGGAATTTCCAAGTCTAGGATTTTTAAATTTGATTTACTCTATTGAAGTCTAGCCAGATCAGATAAATTTCTAGTGTGTGTATATTTTAAAAACATATACAATTAAAAACATATAGATTGGAAAAACTATAAAATAATAAAGCAAAAAACTAATTTTATATAATCGAAACACACGTCGAGCATATTTGGTAACTTTGAAATTGACTATATTTGTCAATTCTTTTGAAATTAATGAAATTCCAGCTAAAGTAGTTGAAATAGCCGAATCTGCTGAATTATAAAAAAAAATTATATTTTATTAATAAAATAAAGAAACAAATGTATGAAAATAGCTAAAAATGATTTTATATAGCAACTTCAACCAATTTAGTCCGAACTAGCAATAGTGTACACAAGAATAAATTGAGGTAAATTAAAATTATTTCCCATTTAAATCTCCTAAATCTTATATCTACTTTCCCCTTCATTACTCTTATTTTCGGGTAACACTTCTATCTTCTATCCTAGAAAGAACCACATATGGCGGAAATGACATTAAGATTAAATAAACGAGATTTAGTTTTAATTCACTTCGATAAGAAGAGCGGTGAAGTGAAAAGTGAGAGTAGAGATTGATAGTATTAAAAAGGACATTAATTTAAATCCACCTTAATTTATTCTTGTGGACACTACTGATAGTTCGGATTATTTTTATAGACACTTCCAATAGGGATTATTATTGTAGAATCCCTAAAAGTATGGATTATTCTTATGAATTTCACCTTTTTTTAATTTTAGATATACAATATTGATGCGGCAAAAAACATAGTCTCCAAATGGGCTCTGAGGCAATTGTGCTCCACATGTAATAAACAACTAATGCAATTTTTATACTTCCTCCGTCCTAAATTGAGTTACAAAATTGACATTTTTAAGTCACACAGATTCATTATATTTACTTAATTAGAATATCAATTTTTATTTCAATTTTAATTTGGATTTTGCAATTTTGTAGATTTAAATATAGATAGAGAGAATTTAACTTTACTATGGGTTGATAAAAGATCATTTACTTTGCAAAACAATTTGGGACGACAATAGTATCTATTTTTTAATTCAAAATGTATTTATATTTTTAATTATTTAATCTTGATATATCATTGAAAGCACGTATGAAAGGAAATAGGAGTAAATCATAATGTATTTAATAATAACACATAATTTTAAATTTATTTAATAGTTTTAAAAGGATTAGAGTTTTTTATACATTACCCATTTAAAAGGGGGTATACGAAGTATAAGAAGTATACTTTAGTCTGAGGAGCGGTTCTTGTAGTATACGAAGTATATAATTAAGGACAAATGTGTCCAATGAGGGTTAGATTTAGCACTTTTGGTGGTGCGCGAAGCAACACCCTTAAAATATGTTACCAAAATTGTTTTGGAAGAAAATATGTTACCAAAATGATAATAATGTTGTGAACAATTTCCTACCTCATATAAATATCCCTTTTTTTACCATCCTTTTTATTCATTCCAAACATCTCTCATCTCACACCCCCATTTATTTCTTCCATCAGCTTCTTTCTATTTTCTCACTCCCATTCCCCATTTTTTCTCCTCTTTTCATTTCAAGCAAAGAGCTTTCAAATCCATTTTTGAAGGTTTCAAGACCTCCCCATTTAGTTGTCTCTAAGGTAACCATCCCTTCTCAAATAATGAGGTACGTACTCTATTTTCGATTTTTCTTCATGTGCGTTTTTTATTTTTCTTTTCTTTTTCGATTTTATGTATATTATGTATGATATAAAAGTGAATAATTGATTAGTTTGTTTCATTGTAATGATTTTGAGGTGTTAATTAATTAAAAATTTAGTGTAATTTCTCTAGTTCATTTTATGCCCATAACATGTTTATACAAATTATTCAATGAAGTTTTTGTTGAAATTCAAGACTTCTTTTTCATTTTTTTGTACCTCAGTGTTTAATGAGTATTTTGAGATGTAATTAGCTGTCTTGGAGAAGAATATGTTGTTTTTTTGTCATTTGTTT